ATACTGAGCTGATAACTGATAATTGATAATTGATAACTGAAATGATAACTATTGAAACTTAAATTGAAATGATAACTGATAACTGATAACTGGACTAATAATTGATAACTGAACTGATAACTAGTAACTAAAATGATAACTGATAACTGAAATGATAGCTGATAACTGAACTGAACAAAGGAAGTAAGGATATGAATACTCCCTCTTCTGAATGATGAACAACCTGTTTATCTATGGCCTCGGGCCCAATATATATGTGCACAAGCTACGGCCTCAGGCCCAAGTATACGTATACATAATTACGGCCTCAGGCCCAAAAATGCATAAAGCATAAACTACGGCCTCAAGCCCAAACATGCATAAAGCATAAACTACGGTCTCAGGCCCAAGTATGCATAAATCATATAAATTACGACCTTAGGCCCAAATACAAGTGTTCAACATTCAGGAACTGAGAATCATATTGAAATACATGATGCTAAAATATTGAACCATACTGAGTTACATAATACTTGAATGCTGAATTGAGCTAGATTGAGACATGTATTCATGAACTGATTATGAAAAACTGAAACTTCAACTGTTTATGACATGATGAGTAATCTAAACTGAGACTCATGGGCATCAAACTCAAGTCTATACTGATTATGCACTGATTTCACAACGTTTAGAACGAAAGTCATGAATGAGTTACGAAACTATAGAATTGAAGTTCTACGACTATTCATGGAACTAAGACATAATTACTTTATGAAGAAACTAGTAATAGTCATAATGAATCGGACGTAGGGAGAATCATAGACATTCCTAAACGTAAAGAGAGTTAGCCTCACATACCTCAATTTCGCCCCTTAGTGATACTACAATGATCCACAATACTAAGAACCTTTAATCTACAATAGCAACATTCAATAGAACCCAATATTAGTAATAAATTCCATAACTTAAGCCATTTAAGCATATTATCAAACACCTTGTAGGCATAAATCTCTACATCTCATCACCATATAATTAGTTCATCTAACTACCACAATTCATCAACAATGTATCCCACCATCATGATTAACCAATTTATAACTTTCAAAATCACATATATGACCATTCATCCACACCCAACCAACAAAATTCCATTAAATAAATATCTTTCAATCTCTATAATAGTTATGTAATTAAATAGGGAACTTATGGTTTCCAATCACCATACCAAGAGTTTCAATATTTATTCATACTCATATTCCCTTAATAAATCCATACATATAAGTCTAAGGGTGTAGGATTACCTTTTTGGAAGAAATCTTGCAAAACCCTCATTTGAGTTCTTGAAGGAATCCCTTGAAGATGTAAGTATTTTATGTGTAGATTTCAGCAATACTAGAGTATAAATGATGGAATTCACACCAAGATAATGGGGATTGCTTACCTTGAAGATGGGAGGTCTTGAGAGAGTGGAGGAAAACCCTAAAATTCGTCCAAATAAATTAGGAAAAATAACCCCTGAAGGTTTTATATCAAAATAGGATCGGGTTGAAAAAAAACCAAGATTTGCACAGTCGAGGCGCGTGGGGCGGTGCGGTAATGAAATATTTGTCTAGAAACGAAATTTGGAGGTGCACTATTAATCTACACAGCTGCGCCGCATGGGGCGGCGCGGTAGTGTAAAATTCTGCCAGCTTTTGGTAATTTGGTCATAACTTCTGATAGGAGTGTCCAAATGACGAACGGTTTGGAGTGTTAGAAACTAGACTCAAAGATATTTCATTTGATAGGTTGTGCATCATATAAAACCTTATATATATGTAGGTATGCTCATCCAAAATATGGTCTTGTGAGTACTAATTTGGAATTTTAGTCTATCATGTAATTTTCCAAATTGGCTTAGACTTAGGTCTCTCCTTGTACCCCAAATCACTTATGGTATGCCTCGTACACTTATTATCATATCCAGTTGATAACCATCACATTAATACTCATTTAATGCATCCACAACTGATTCAAATTTACGGGATGTTACATAGTGTTACTCCATTGACACTGTTCACCCTCTAAATTGAAGGCAAATTTGCAACTGGTTGGAGTAAAATTCCTCCATTTTTGACTCCAAATTGGAGTTTGGACGTAAATATGGAGGTGGGTTGGAGATGACTTTAGAGCACCTGCTTTTCAAGTGGAGGTCTTGAGTTCGACTTTCAACAAGAATATTTTATTTTGCGTATTTTGCCTTGATTGTATTCGTTGCGCGAGTGAATGCAGCCGATACAGGTTGTATCATTTGTATACACCCTTATATTTCACATTGGTTGTATTCGTTGCGTGAAAGAATACGATTGATACATGTTATATTCGTTACGTGAATGAATACTGTCGACACAGGTATTCATTGCGCATTTGAATACAAGTGATGCAAGTTGATAACAATTGAACAGTAACTACAAATAGTAATTAAACAAATTATAGTTATATATGATAATTACGCTCCAAACTATAGTGCTTTATGAAAATTTCTCACAAAACAAAGGAAAAGGAAAGTTGATTGGGCTTTCCTATGCACACTAGCGTTCAAATTATGTAAAAATAGCACGGGCTAGCCAGTTTTCGGATTGGTTATTGAAAAATAGTGAGTATTTGCAAAGTCGCAATAAAATAGCCACTATTTTATTGCAACACAGAAAATTCCAGCATAATATACTGGAGATCGGTGCACCTGTATATGAACTTCCACCATATTATGATGGAACTCCAACACGCGGAAAGTTCAAGCATAATATACTGGAGATTGGAGCTCCTCTGTATGAACTTCCAGCATATTATGCTGGACCGGTATATTATACTGGAACTCTAGTATATTATACTGGAGTATTTCTGGATTTTGAACAATGTTTTCGTTCAAATTTATCTTTACATAAAAAGTGGCTAAATTTCATTTACTTTTGAAACTGTTGCTATTTTTAAATGATCACTTATAAATCTGGCTAGTTTTGAATTTCTCCCTCAAATTATTCAATATAAGAAGATCTAACAATGTTTTATCACTTTGGAAACAATATTCAGGCATTGTTTTTTTTTCTTCAATTTTTCATAACGTGAAAGATAGGCGAAAAAGAGAAGAAAAGAAACAATAAAAATTAAACACATACCAATTACATAATAAATTGTAATCGCTATTACTAAACTATAAAGGGCCGTTTGGTACGAGGGATAAACAAAATAATTCAGAAATAAAAATTTATTACCGCTTTATCTCTTCTTTCATTACTAATCATGAGATAAGTTATCACAAGATTAAAAATATTGCCGGAATAATTTATTCCTATCAGAGGATGGAATAGTAATCCATAGTAAAATTGACAATCCCCGAATTAATATAACATACCAAACAATCAACAAAAAATAATATCACAATAACTACTCCTAATATAACTAATCTAATTATAATTTATCGTCAAACCAAACGATCCCTTAAGTCTTACACTATGATTCATGTGATTTATTTTAGGATCAATGAATCTCCCAAAAAATCTCTAAAACGTTGCCAAGTTCGTTTTTTTGGTCAATTTTCAAAATATTTCAAAGAATAGAAGTTTCTTCACATCGTGGGCTGAAGACAGCTTGTCTATAAAGGCGGCTGCTATTTTTATTCTGAGCCGTCTTTGGCCGGCTTTTGTTTTTAAAATTTTATAATTTTATATTTATTTTTTTTATTTTCCCTTTTTGATTTATTCAGCCAAACCAGCTCAGTGGTCAAACTTTATCTTATCCTATCATTATTAATATAAGAATAGTTTTTATTTTATTTTATATTTGCATATATAGTCACCAAAGAATGAAGTGTAATTTTCTTTTACTTTACTTTTACTATAAGTAATTCAGTAGTTTACTTTAACATGAAAGGTTTTGTTCTAGATTCCTTTCCTTCGCTAAAGGGATCATGAACTTGACTTTTTTTAGTTTCTCATTCGGTGTTCGGTCCCTGTCTTGGAGATCGACTAAATTTAGATTCGCGCTAAAAAAAATCACATTGAAAGGTAAAATACTCCCTAACAAAAGCGATCTCTGATTAAGAATAAAGTAGTACTTACCGCTCTACCACAACTCTGGTTGAACTTTAACATATAGCCTTTTGTACTTACATTTCATCTAACATCAACAAGTTTCACCATACAAGCATAATTGCACATTATAACTTGAAAGTGCAAATTGGGTGGGTTTCTTATTTCAATAATGGAACAAATTAGTAGAACTTTTGCATTTTTTTTTTATAAAAAAAATTTGAACTATAAACACACCTCAGGTGGTTTAGGTATTATACAACAAGACTATGATTAAAAGAAAAATTACCAAGAGGAATAAGACTGAAGTAGCTAGAGAGGGGTAACGTTGGAGAGCAACGATAAAATTATTTTTGTGTGATTTATATGCCACAGGTTCAAGCCGTGGAATCAGTCACTGATATTTGCCTCAGCGTAGACTGCCTACATTATACCCTCTTAGAGTGCGGCCCTTAACGCGAATGCTTTGCACATCGTACTGCTTTTTTTAAATAAGACTGAAGTAGAAGTTGGCAACAGGTAATTGTACAAGAATAGGATTATCACATGATAACATCTTACTTACAATAGGAAAAAGTTTTCTTTTCTGATTTTAAATCCTAGCCAAAATACATTTATGCCTTAACTAAACATGAGATAAAATATGGCTTAATGTCACATCATCTCGAAACTAATAACTACTATGATATTTCTTTTCACCAATTTTCTTACTAAGATAATTCAATACCTTTAATTAAGGGCAAGAGGCTAATGTTAATTTTAGAATTTAGAATTGAGGCATCCAAAATAATAAATAAATATCAAAGCATGTTAATCTAATAACAACATGAATTAAACTCTTAACAATGAAAAAAAATTAATTTTACCTCTATATAACAAATACAAGAAATATATATAAAACCAATCTCATACACTATTTATGCCATGTTAATTTTAGAATCGAGGCATCCAAAATAATAAATAAATATCAAAAGAATTTTACAACTATATATAACAAATAAATGTAATATATATAAAACCAATCTCATACACCATTTTCTCCCCTCTAATTACACATAAATCATAAATCACACACATCTTAATTTTTTCTTTTTCTTCCAATAATAATAATTATCATAATCCAGCATTTCTCTGTGTATTATTATTATTATTATTAACAACAGAAAAGGGAGCAGGAGCTGCAAACCGAGTTGAGAAATTACGCAAAAGCCCATCATCATTTTCTTCAACTCCCTCATCAAAATTCATTGCATAACTATCAGAATCATACTGAAACTGCTGTCCCTTAGATTTCTTGGAATTACAATATTTCCCCATTTTTCTAACAAAATTCTTCCATTTTGGTCCAGCTACAAGTTCTGAATATTCCTTTAATTCCTTCATCTTTGTCACCATCCATGAGTCTCTGTCTTCACCCTGCTGTTGTAACAGTGAATTTGCTTCACCTTCTTTTGATTGAAAACAGGGGAATCTGAAACACCCACAAAAAAGTGAAGGTTCTTCTTGGTAAAAATAGTTTTCTGTTCCTTCTTGGGTATTTTCTCTAATTGGTGAATAATTGTTGTTCATCATCTTTTGTTTAATTTTCTTGAAAATTCAGCAAAAANGGGGTGGGGGTGAGGGGTTGAAGGAAGAAAGATTAATGGTGGAAGGAGGAGAAAGATGATGGGTATATATATTGTATATTGGTGTATATGTAATATATATGGGTCCGTGTGTGGTGTGTGTGTGGGGTGTGGGCAGAGAAAGAACAAAGAAAGGACAGAGAAATGGGGTAATTGATGATTTTTCTTTTGACTAGTAAAGGTTGATTATTTTCAGCAATTATATGTTTTTTCTAGTCAATTCTAGAGTTTAACATTATTGTTATTTTATGAGGATACTTAAGGGGTTGTATTTGATATTTTCTTTTATGATAAATGTTTGTTATATTTCTAGAGATTAAGGGAAAGTATTTTTTTTTAGAGCATAGGTGGTCTCAAATAATAGGGGGAAGTACACAAATCGCCATTTTTTAGGACTGCTATACAGGGATTAGCCAATACTTATTTTGTTCTGAAAATTTGAACTAAATTTTTTAAATTTCAGGACTTTGTGTGCTGAAATATTGAATTAAAAACAAAAATACAAAGCACATTAACTAATTTCTAAATAGTAGCCCGATATAACAAAGTGGTGTCATTTCTACCAAATAATATATGAAGAAAGCTGGAATAGTAGCAGCAGTGCGGAACTAAGATTTATATTAAGGAAAGCCAAAATATAAGAAAGTAAATGCATAAAAAAGTTAAAGAAATCAATATATATATATATATATATATATATATATATATATATATTATGAACCTATATGCATCCTGTAAATTTTCGATAAAAGAGTGTCAACTAATTCATATGATCAAGGGTAGCTCCGCGAAAAAATTAGGAAAGTTTTTCTCCCTATATATTTTTGTAAAAATTGCACGGGGCGCCCTATTTGCCCATTTAACCTATACCCATTTTTTTTTAAACTTTTAACTTGTACTCAATTTTTAAATAACTTCAACCCCCTTTCTCCTCCTTCGTTTTCTTCTTCTTCTTCTTCTTCTTCTTCTTCTTCTTCTTCTTCTTCTTCTTCTTCTTCTTTCTTCTGCAATTGTTGGTGCTGCTATGGAACTTCAGTTATTAAAATTTTGTGTAGACATATCTGGTTCAATGATAAGACGAAAATTTTCCTACACCACTGTATTCCAGTCAAGAAATACGAATGGATCTGCAAGTGGTCATTGTTTGGCACCATGTTCTTTTTCACCCTTAACTTCAGGCTGAAGTGAAAGCAATTCACCACAAATTTAGTATCTTGCCCATGACAAGAAAACACAAAGTTACTTGTATAGTTGTATGCAATAAGAAATAAAATGTTCATTGCTTATATAGTGTCGAAGTTTTTACAAATGAACTAAATAACTTCGACAGTTACAAAACAAAAACTTCAGCTCTAGAGCTGAAGTTTTTGTTTTGTAACTGACGAACTTCAGCTCTAGAGCTGAAGTTTTTGTTTTGTAACTATCGAAGTTATTTAGTTCATTTGTAAAAACTTCGACACTATATAAACAAACAAAAACTTCAGCTCTAGAGCTGAAGTTCGCCAGTTACAAAAACAAAAACTTCAACTCTAGAGCTGAAGTTTGTCAGTTACAAAATAAAAACTTCAGCTCTAGAGCTGAAGTTCGCCAGTCACAAAAACAATAACTTCAGCAATGCAAATAGAGAACAAAACTTCAACTACTATGATTAAGTTTATCAATTACAAACAAAAACTTCAGCTCTAGAGCTGAAGTTCGCCAGTCACAAAAACAATAACTTCAGCAATGCAAATAGAGAACAAAACTTCAACTACTATGATTAAGTTTATCAATTACAAACAAAAACTTCAGCACACTTGGTTCAGCACACTTGCTACTTCAGGCTCGTCTATTAGAATGCTGAAGTTTTGTGTGATTGCATTTGCTACTTAAGCCCCATATGCTGAAGTTATGCGAAAAAGCGGGTACGTTTGCAATTTTTTTGCAAAGCGGACACAAGTTAAAACGTGACACAAAAAGCGGGTATAGATATAAATCCCCCTATTTTTTTATCAGGACAGGGCCCACCACAAGAATAATGTGCAAAAAAAAAACAACCTAATTATGATGATTATTCTGAATAATGAATATTGGACCAGTATGGAATATTAGTAAAGTCAATTACAATTTATTTGAGATTACAATGTTGAGTGTTTGGTTAAAGGGTTGCCTAACTTAACCGCTGCTAGACAATTTCTGTGATGTCATTAGATTCGAACTATCAACACTGATTTACATTTTATTTGCATTCTAAACGAAGGTGAAGTCTCTCTTATGACCTTTTTATAGTTACTTATTCTTTACTGTCAATTCATAACAATTGGATGAGCATTGAAAGGAAAGTACCTCGAAAACTTTTTAGGCTCGAAAATGCAAACGAAATTAATTTTGGTCTTTCGGAACATCTATATAAAAAAATAAAAATAGTCCGGTGCACTAAGCTCCAGCTATGCGCGGGGTCCAGAAAAGGGTCGGACCACAGGGGTCTATTGTATGCCGTCTTACCCTGCATTTCTGCAAGAGACTCTTCCATCTTAATTGTATAGTATATATATATACACACACACATTTTACATATATGTACATTTCTATATATGATATACAAAACATATACATATTTTATATACTTTTGCGGCTGCCAAATATAAATAGTTTCGAGCGCGAGCTAAAATTGTTCTTTGCCCTCGTATTAATTAAGGAAAACTTGCTAATAGTTTATAGAGTTTTAAGTCATCTAAGAGACACTTGGATAAAACCTTAATCGTTTGGTATGTGGACTAAATTATTCCGAGATTATGATCCTAGGACTAATTTATACCACATAAGATATATGATAAAATAATCCCATATTTGATGGAATAAGGTGGGATAAGATAGGATATTCTGGATTAAGTCTGGGATTAAATTTATACCTTGTTTGGTTCGAGGTATAAATTTATCCCGAGATAAATTAATATTGCCCAAACGGAATATAAATTTAATCCTACATCTTATCCCATCTTATATCTCATGCCAAACGATCCCTAACCAAATGTCGGAGATTACAATTCAAAATCGAGTATTTCAGTGACTTTTATTCATTTCAACCAATTAGTTCGTAAATTATCTTTCTACCATCCAACTAAATTAGTGAATTATAGTATTTAAAACCTGTTAGGAAAGTTGTAAGCGAGAAAAGACATCAATCCTTAAACTCTCAGTAACAATTAAAATTAAAATTGCTTCAAACGAAAAAAAAAAAGGACTTATCACAACGGTAATCTAAATATTATATTAGTAAGTCTAATATTATAATCACAATATGAGCATTCAAGAAATATATAAATTAGTGAGGGGCTGCAGGGTAGAGAAGTCTTCAAAGTAGTAAATAAAAGAAGAAAAGGGAAGACAGCAGTGTTAGTTCGCGTTCACACCGCGTGGAAGGATATATAGCATATCATCATTTTGGATATGACTTTTTCTTTTGGATAAACATAATTATTTATATCAAGAACATACATTCTTTATTCTTACTCAATGCATTATATTTCAGGATCATACTCTTTCAACAATAAGTATTAGATTTTTGGCAGTGGCGAATCCAGAATTTTTAAATTATGAATACTTAATTATTTTTAATCTGAAAATTACTACTGAGATTGGGTGCTTAATTAATATATTTGTATAATTTACTAGTTTTTTCCATGTAACTATAAAGTTTGGTTCCAAAAGCAATGGATGCTCAAGCACCCATAATCCATAATGTACATCCGTCACTGATTTTTGATAATTTATATCAATCATACCATCTTCATGACCCTTGATAGACAGGTGTGGAGGACGAGAATTAAGTTAGAAGACTAATAGATAGTTGGTCGTCTCTCCTTTCATTCCAATAGTAGTAACGTTATTCTAGTATTTCCTTATTCTTAGAATTCTATTACTACCTAATGTTACTTGTGTTTTGGTTATTATACCATTTTGTTGTTGTTATTGCTTCGCTAACTTTTACACTATTGTATTTTCTTCTCTATATTGTTATGATTTTGCATGTTTACTTGGAGTCGAAAGTGTACCGAGAACCGCCTTTCTACCTGCAAAAGGTAGGGATAAGAATGCGTCCTCATTACCCTTCTCAGATCTCATTTGTGGGATTATACTAAGTTTGTTGTTGTTGCTGATATCATTCATACCATCTCCCTCCGGTCCACAATAAATGACCAATTTGCTTTTTTATTTTGGTCCAAAATAAGTGTCCATTTATATAACCAAAAAAAATTCAATTTATTTTTTCAAAATTACCCTTATGTACGTATCCCTAAAAAGTCTTTTACTCCTCACACTAACTATGCTGCAACATTTAATTAAGGGTAGTTTAGTCATACTAGCTATTTTTGTCTAGAATTTAGCATTTTTCTAATGAATGTGTTTAAGGTAAATTGGTCACTTATTATGAACTGAAGGAAGTAATTAATTAGCTGGTTTCATTATTGATCCAAAACAAGATCATTAAAAAAATAAGTTAAATAAGTAGTACTCCCAAGTCCCAACTCCTAAAAAGATAAGAGATCCGTTAGGTACTGGGGCCGGAGGGTAGGAAAGTCTTAAAAGTAAAGAAGAATATGAACATAATTAATTACCTAGATTCATTAATTACCTAGGTACTGGGGCCGGAGGGTAGGATCTGTGTTAATTAACTAACACATAATTAATTACATTAATTAACCACCTACAATCATTTCTTTAACTTAAAAAGCATAATGTTAATTAGACAAAATTAGTTGATGGTATGAAATAATGAAATTGTAGTAGGTGTAATCCACGACCACCTTTACAAGCTAACTCAATGAAATTGTAATATTTGAGATCATATTAATATTAATGTATGAAGATGTTCCTAGCCACGAGACGAGGGGTAAGTCGTCTTCAACTCTTCTTCTTTTTTTTGGCGTTGTTAAGGGCTTTTTTTCCCGAACGACCACATTGATTCTAAATTTCTTTTTTTATTCTCAAATCATTTTTTCGTTCGGTTAAGAAAAAAAACAACTCATTTCCTTTACCGTAAGCAGAGTCAATCCCAAAAAGAAAGTACATGTTCCAAGAATCATATGCCGAATACAATTCTATTGACTTCTTTTGGTTGAAAAATGAGTTAATCCAATTTAAGTGACACAATTTTCGACTATGATTAATGAAAAGTGCGTACACAGGCAAGAAAGATGACCTTTTTTCTCTTCATGTTTGTTTTCCAGTTAAGTTTGACAAACTAAACCGTGTAATTTTCTCCCTCATTTTTCCCTTCTTTTGAATAGTAGCCAAACTTTCGAACAGTTGACTTTTTCATTAACTTGGCTTTACTAAATACTGGAAGATTCAGCTATGATAGGCTTCACAATTTCATAATCTTCCAAGTAACCACAAGAAAATCCCAATTTCCAAAATCCTAGTACGGTCCAATTTTTCTATAACGGTCTCGTTTGTTTCGATAGTTTTTGGCTGCTATAGTAAAGTGTTGGTATAGAGGACACACATTTCAATTTACAACATAACATAAAAATCAGTTCCAAAAAAAACTTGATTCTTATAATGAATTGCTATTGCTTATATAGAGATTATAGAGAGCTCTGACGGTAGTTTTATAGCCAACACAAAAATTCAACCCTTTCCGCTATATTTAGTTAGCATGTTTAAGTCCAGTGTTGGACTCGGATTATCTGCATCTTTGCATCCCCCCTCCCCCCAACAGAGCTAATTCAAGAAAAGAAAAAAAAAGAAGAAAAGAAACAATGAACCAAGAGAGTAAAAAGAAGAGGAATCATATGTCAATTCACAAAACAATATGTGCATCAGAGTGTTTATATATCAATCAATCAACTATGCCTCAGATCCCAGGGGCGATGAACCATTGTCAGTGTTGGTTCAACTGAACCCATAATTTTCGGCACGAGTCATAAATCTATGTAAAGCTTAACTAAAATTATGATAAATAATAGACATGAACCCATAACTTAAAAACTATAACGGGTTTAATGATAAAAATTTTAAAAATTGAACCCATAATATTTAAACCTTGAATCCGCTCTTGCTTGATCCCAACCTAGTTCATCAGAATGCCTATATTAAAAGAAATACAACAACAGACCCAGTAGTTTCCCACAAGTGCAGACTAGGGAGAGTAAGATGTACGCAGTCTTACCCCCTAGAAGAGCAGAGAGGTTGTTTCCGATAAACCCTCGACTAGAGGACAACTGAAAAAGAAAAGATAATTGCAACAAGTAAGAATAATAGCAAGAAGAAATAAGATCGAATCCAAAAATGCAGTCACAACTCTAAGTAGTAATAGCCATCTATGGATAAAAGATATCATACCAACACTATTGCTAGCGAACTGAGTAAGACTATATTAAAAGAAATGAAACGAAAAAAGAAATTAAGTTTCTTACGCTTATACGTCAATTTGGTCAAGTATATACGTTAGATTGCAGTAGAATGCTAAATTAATCCAATAATAAAATGGAATGGGATGTAAATCTAAGTACCAGAAAACAAAAGTAAGATACCACTATAATTTTTGTTACATTTATAAGCTAAATCTATATACCAACTTCAGCTTCCACATGTCAATCATGGTAGGAAAAATCTATAACAGACAAATGTAGAACATCAACTTTTAGCTTGGTTGGTATTTGCTGAAGGAGGTGATTGTTGGTTTTGTCCTTTGGGAGGGAGCTTAGATTGCATCACTCTCAGATCATTGGCAATCTCAGTAAAGCTAGGCCTTTCCGACGGTTCAGCTGACCAACACCTCTCCATGAGTATCCTCCAATCCGCATCACAGGATTCCGGCACAGGCGGCCGCAATGTATTACTCACGATACCACCTGCATTGGATTTAGTCGTCAATACTTACACCGGTTTGATGCCTTAGCAACCGTTTGCACAATATTTGCAGTTGAAGTTGAAGAAGAGTATCTGGAAGTTAAGAGGGAAGGAAAGATATTGTGACTGCAGCAACATTACCAATGATAGCTCCATAGTGCAACTCGGCATATGGTTCTTCTCCCGTAAGAAGTTCCCACATCACAATTCCAAAGGAAAATACATCAACCTACAAAAACAAGCGGCAAAGAATGAGTTAAACGTTCTCTTCTACGCCTTCTGGAAATTAATACTTCTCAAAGTAATAAATTAAGCACTTCTCAATACCTTCTCAGAGACAAGACTACTGCTCCCATTTAGAAGTTCTGGTGCCATCCAGGGAAGAGTTCCGCGTACACCGCCTGATATTAGTGTTTGACACTTCACTTTGGATAGCCCCAAATCACCAACCTAAAACGAGAAGGATAGATTTCCAATCATACCAAAGTGAAACAGACGATAGTATGACAGGGAGCTTTTATGATTGGCAATGGACTGCTTTTGTGTTTAAATGGTTAAGCACAAGATAAGAGAGAATTCTGAAATTTAAGAGTGTATACTACTTGCTGCAATTTCCTTTTTGAAGAATACAGTGGGTACTGCTATTCTTTATCACAGGAAAAGTGAAAGGAAAAAAGATAACAAGGCTAAAGAAATTATAGATGAAGCATGGTCCATTTATCAGCATTGGTGCACTAAGTTCCCACTATGCGGGGGGGTCCGGGGAAGGGCCGGACCACATGGTCTATTGTACGCAGCCTTACCCTGCATTTCTGCAAGAGGATGTTTCCATGGCTCGACCCGTGACCTCCTGATTACATGGCAACAACTTTATCCGTTACGCCAAGTCTCCCCTTCTCTATTTATCAGCACTAGTAAGGCAAAAGGATGACAAAACAATCACGATAAAACTAAGGATGACAACAATGATGCCCATGATGATAAGATAACATGATGATTATACAACCAATGCCATAGATGGTAGTGGTGATACATGCAAGTGACGCAAGCCATGGATCAATGTTATCAAGGGCGAAAAGTGTAGTAAGCACCAACCAAGGCGTTTCTTTTCCTTTTTTTCTTCTTATTTTTGACAAGTTAGAAAAGCACCAAGGCTTTCCAAGAGATTCAAATGCAAAGCTGAAACTCATGGGTACATGTAAAAAACTTAAACTCATGGGTACACCAGGATTCAAAAAAAAAAAAAAAAAAAAAAAAAAAAAGGATCCTCTAATTTTTACCAAACAATTCTGCCTACCATAAAAAATATAACCAACTGCAGATATTATCAGATGATGTTTTACCGAAATATGTCTAACAATTAACCATCAGCTATCTTCTACCCTGTGGATCTAACTGTGCATAAAAGTTGAATTAGTCTCTATGTGATGTCAACATGTAATAGAATTTGCTAGACAAGGATTAGCACCCCTTCCCCTTGTTGAGATAATTGGCTACTAAATCTTTAACATTTCTGCACAGTTTTTTCATCAACTGACAAATAAAACCTGTCTCTTGGCTATGACTAACCTTGCATATTGGACGGTGGGGATCACGGAGATTAACCAACAGATTGTCACTTTTCAAGTCAAAGTGCACTATATTCTTCCCATGCAAATACTCCATTCCAAATGCAACATCCATCGCGATAACGAGGCGTTTCCGCTTATCCAGATTCCTGAAAACAGTATGCCATGCGTTTACTCATCCCATTTTTTTATGTTAACACCACTAATAGTATAAAACTTTAATGTATAAGAGGACTCCAAGTGCTCAAGCTGAAGACATCAAAACCAAACAGACGGCTTTCTGATCTCGCAAAGATCAGGAGAATATCATGAAAGTGACCTACTCATCCACAAACTAAGTACAAGAAAACCACTCTATTACCACATGGTTTGCTGGAAAAACCTTGCTTAAAATCAGTTGGCCTTTAACCGACAATAGCCTAAAAATGCAAAGACAGGAATTTATACCACCATGTTTTTAATCCCTGAAACCATAGTAGAGGTCAAACCTATCAACTTTTAACCCAAAATTCAGTGGAAGTAAGAATCGCCAATAAACAAATACTCCGTTTAATCCATGGAAGTCAAGCGGATTACAAATGAAAGATTACCTCTCATTCTTCTGTAAAGCATTTCTCAAGGACCCGTTAACCATATATTCTGTAACAGTTGCCACTGAGCCACCTGGACCATCTAGCACAACACCATAGAATGCAACAACGTTCGGATGGTGCAAATCTGCGAGTTTGATGGCCTCATTCCAGAAATCATCCCTCTAATAAAAAGATAAGCACAGCAAAAAAAAATGTACATCAACAAATGATGCAAAGATCTTCAATAAATTGGTTAAATTATCAGGTGCAAGGAGAAAGAAAAAAGACAAAGAAATAGACAAGTAGCGGTAAACAGAAGGAAAGAGAAAAGATACCAACCATGCGCTCTTGTTCTGAAGCTTTCCCAGCAAAACACCTATCATTAATCCTTTTAATTGCAACATCAGTACCCCTCCACTTTCCATGATAAACAGTGCCAAATGTACCAGAACCCAATTCTCGCATCTCCTCGAGGTCACTATTCTTTATAATCTATTCACATGAATGCACTTATTAAGAACAAAAGTGGGGTGAAAATTAAAAACACTGCAAAGTGGTAGAGACAGTAAAAGATCATTTCATTTTTTCAGTTAAGGCTAACAAATTATGGAAATTGCATTGGACAAGAGATGTCGAACCTGCAAGCGTCCAATGCCATCTGAAACAGGAAATCCAAAATTTGCTCTCTCTGGAAATTGAGTCTTAGTTTCCTGAATAGAGATTGCTAGTGGATTAGCAATACAGGCAAAGATAAGATACAAGACACCGATTATGAACAACTTGCATAGCAGCACGTGTAATTGTGTGAGAGAATTTAAGACCTCAAATTTATCTTTGGTGTCCTTTCCGGCATCAGCGCTTTCAAATTCAGCATTCAGTTGAGTAGAAGATATGGAAAGGTCAGCATTAGATGGAGTTGATGACTGAAGAACAGAAGCGGCGACACCCTCGGCAACAGCCTGAAGTTCTCGCTTGATCATTTCCTCTGCTGAGCCTTCGACAGCAAAGAGGAAAAGAAAAAGTTAGGACTGCAAAAACATAAGACGACCTAGAAATCCAGAAATTGAGGCTTCTCACCTTTCTTGGACCGTGATTGATCTGAACTGAAATCTGTATTACCTGAAGGCAGGCAAGCTCCATCTTCCAACCGAATTTGTGTTTGTAATCCCCCCTTAGTAACAGTTGGCAACTCAATGTTATTGCCAAAACGATTCTCGCCAGAGTAATCCTTGGTGCCAGCAGCTTCCTTTTTTAGCTGAAGTTTACTAGGTTTAGGAGGAGGGAAATGGGCATCATGTTGCAAACTCCAAGGATCCTGGTTGCTATATAAAGAATTTGAGCTTTCCTGTACAAATGGTGGGGTACCATCGAGTACAGCCATTTCTGTAGTTGTAGGACTCAACATTTGCTGGAAATGCTGGGGCCCATCTTTCCATTCACCAATAGCTAGAGTTCTTTCTGTTGCATTGGCAGTTACATGGGAAGAGACTTCATATCCTTCTGCGGCGCGAATGTTATGCATGAAAGGAGCGTCATTTGAAGAAGCTGGTATTTCATTTGGATTCACGTAACTTGTAACCAAACCTGGATATCCTTCCCTCCCACCAAACTGTTGAACTCTGTTATTCAACATGTCTTCCCTTCTAAAGTTATCAACAGTTGGCTTACTCTGCTCATTAGGTGCTAACACTTCAGCGGGGTTTATCAGGAGATTTTCCATTCTTCCTTCAATTTGTCTCAAGTGGTTGTAAGCCGTTAAGGACTCTACATCATCTTCTTTTGGAGGCATGGCAGGAGTGTTTCCACCATAGTTTTTGGGAGATTCGCCACATAAGTTATCCACTATTTGACCAGGCACAACTCCAACTTTAAGGAAATCATTATTGACTGGTTTGTTCACAGCAACTTCTTGTTTAATCTGATACTGTGGTGAAACCATAAGCTGCTCAGTGGCATTAACATGGTACGGTTGAGGAACAGCACCAACAAAAACTCCATAAGGTGATTGCATCGTACCCGTTAACCCTATCATACCTTGGGGAACTGACACCTTTGGGTGCTCTGGCACAAACTCAGGCTTTTGGAGGTTCCTATCATATTCATACTGTTTATCAACATTTTGTGAGACTCCAACTGCCTCAGCTTGACCCCCAATTCTTTGCCCAACAGAAGCTCCTTGTTGTTCAACAGCCCCCTCACCTAACGTTCCGGTTGTAACAGCTCGGTGAATAGGCCGACCCCTTTCATCCAATCTAAGGCTATGATACACTGAATTAAAATCAGATGTTATGCTTGCAGGACTCTCCCTTTGTTCCACTGCTACTGTATCTGAGTGTGCATGAGGCAGCGATTTTTGACACATTAGACAGTCATCAAACCGAGATAACGCCTCAGAACCAGTAACCAGTGGTGGAGGCACCTGGCCTTCAGAAAGTGGTGCCTGCTGAGACTGCGGAATCTGGTGCCATCCGTAAGCTGCAGGAGGGACCTGATGCTGATAAGCACTATATCCTTGGTCAACAGGGAAATGCACAACTCTCGGCCCCAATGTGCCTTCTGCAGGATAATTTTCAAACCTAACATGTTGGGGCTGAATCAGTGAAGGAACCATATTAGGATTCATACTGACATGAGCGGAAGGAGTCATTGTCATGTGAAGAGCAGGGACAAACTGCTGAGTCGGAGCACCAGCAATTATATGCTGCTGATTGATTACTGGCCCAACAGTTCCCAAAAGCTGCCTCGGGAATCCCATCTGGGAAGGTATTTGAACATAATCTGCACGGTTTAGGTTCTCCCTTTGAGGATCCACATAAGTCGGGACATATGGTGTAGTTCCTGGATAAGTCACTCCTGTTTGCTGCATATCATAACCCATCTGTCGCTGCTGTGCAGCAGCGACAGGCACAGATTTCTCTAACGCATTCTCCGGCTGAGCAGATAAGCTTGGCACTGGCCCGGGAACGACTAATGGAATGGTCATTGGAGTGACAGGAGCATCGGCATGAGTTGCAGGATTTGCATCTGTATACACCAATCGATAAGCAGGTTCTTGAGAGGTAGCAGAAGTCCCACTAGGTGATAGTGCGTCAACAGCAGGTATGCCTCTAAGCTCCCCTTGACCATTGGCTAAGCTATCAACAGCTTCAGAGCCACTAAATTCTGAATTCTGGGTGGAACCAGCACTAGCGGTACTCCCTTTCCTAGTAATACCAATACCACTAAACCCATCACCAATCCCATTCACTGCCTCGACATACCTCTGTCCACTATCTTGCAGATCTCTTAATTGCACCACACCGGACGATTCTAGCTCTGAAGCCGAAAACAGGAACACCCTCAATTTAGCAGACCCATCTGACGCTCTTTCAACCAACTTTTCGTACTCATCCATCATATTTTCAAGATCTTCCGGACAAGAAACAGACACTAGCGCGTCAAGATCCTCATCAGGCAACTGGTACTTAATCACCACATCCTGCCCATAAGTATCTACTATTTTGTGAACCAGTTCAGCAAAACTCACCTCCCTCCTAACACTAATAATCCTAGTCTGTCCACCCACATATCTCAATGCGCCATCACTCGGCCTCGGCATTATCCTCCCCCCAAAACTACACAAAAACTTAACTTTCCTCCCCGACACCGAATCATCACCACCATCATCACTAGCACGATCAGACGCATTACTACTAACACGTGCCCCAAAATGCAGATTCTTCGATGACCCACTTCCCGAATTCATAACGCCAACACTAACAACACCAGGAGGTTGAGAAGGCACAACCTGTGGGACCCAACCGGTCGCTCCTGGGCCGGCATTGGTAAACCCTAATCCTACAAACCCAGCATCCGCTACAGTGGTAGGGTAATAAACCCCAGGTATAGTTCCAGGACTACCTCCAACATCCCGGGTTGGGTTACCATAAAACCCCTCAACGGGTCTACCAGATGTGGTCACAGAAGCAATGCCAGAGTCTTCTGGCACTGTCCTAACAATGTTCAACGGGCGCAAATCTTTAGGAATTGAATTCTGATCAAAAGCCATAACCCACTACTTACATATATTTCTATCTTTACAAATAAAAATTCAATCTTTTTACCAAAAACCCAAATCTTGCTTCAACCCAAAAACCTAAAATTGCTGTTCTGGTTGTAGGCTTTATCCTTCTCTACATTGAGCTACAATACAAACCAAAAAAGACCCAATTAACCCTAACGGGTTTACACAAATATAGGCAAATCAAATTCAATATTTGTTTTCTTCTCAAAAACCAAATCTTGATTCAACCCAAAAACCTACAATTGCTGTTTTAATTCTAGGGTTTATCCTTTTCTACATTGAGCTACTATACAAACACAGAAAACCCAATAGGCCAATACTACTAACAGCTGCTTTGAACCTCAAATAAACCCTAATGGGGCTTAACACAAATATAGGCAAATCAAAAGGGTTTTTTAGCAAATATTTGTATTCAGTAACCAAGATTCAAGAACTGGAAAATACCTCAAAAAACAAGAACAGCACTTTCTTGCTAATCTCTATATTTTTTGCAGCTGATATGCCATAAAAAGATACAGTTTTTTTTTAACGGGGTTTTTTTTTTGTTGCTCTTTTTTCTGAGAGATTTTGCAGAAAAATGTGTGCTGTATGGGAGAAGGTGAAGCAAAAAAATGGAGGAAAAAAGCTGCGTGGGTCACTATCAAATTGTAGAGATGAAAGAGGAAGGGTGCCTGGTTATTGATTTCTTGAAAAAAAAAGTTGCTGAATATAATTTTTAAATTGTATTAAAATACTAATGGAAATCAAATGTAGTGAGTGTAGTGAGAGAAAGAGAAAGTGAAGGGGGGAAAGGGCACGTGGAAGAGTTCATGCAGAAGTGTGCAATTCGCTAATTTCAGTCAAATGCGGTGATGGAGCTCAATTTTTCTTTTGGTGTTGTTTCTTATTTAACGTGAAAAAATGCATAAAGTGCCTATTAAACTTGTCCGGATAAATCATTTATACACATAAATTTTACGGGCGACCTTTTATTCCTATTCTAAACTTAAGTGAATTTAATACCCTCTTGAGTGGTAACATGGCATAAAACGTGTAGTTATGCGCGTGAAGGCAAAAAAAATAACTTAAAACTAATTTAATGGTTCAGGTGTCACTTTCCTATTGGATATTATAACTAATTAACTTAATACTACTTTTTTCTCTTTTCTTATTCATTTTTCTTTTCTTTTTCATTTTTTTTTCTCTTTCTTCATTTAACAGAAGCAGTGAATTGGGCGCTACCTTGGCTAAAATATCCATTTCCGGTAACCTTATTCTTATCTACATCCTTCTTCAATTGAGATTTTCTCCATCCGATTTTTCATTTATTTGTTGAAAAATACCTCTTTAGAACCAGAAATAGTGTTTAAAAGAAAACAAGGTGTCACCGGAAAATTCTTCGGCCAGAGAAAATTTATAGGTCCTTAACGAGTGGCTCTATATATCAGGTTTTATTCACTCTTCCAATACAAAATTAGGAGGAATAAAATGACAAAATTCTACTAAGGAAACCCATACGAAGGAAATTAGGAGCACAAACCCAACTCATCAAAAAATAGGTACCAACGATACCAAACTTTCCGGCCAACCCAAAATTTCTCTCTATCCCAAGCTTTTTGATGCTTTTTCTCCTTAATTTCGTGTAATGTCAAAGCCACAAATAAATTATCTACAATGAAAAAAGAAGAATAAAGATAGAGTTATTTAAGGGAGGTTATGGCTGTGAATGGCTTCCACAGTGGCAGCGGCAAAAATAATGAGGAAGAAAGGTGAAGAAGATGAAATGAAAAAAATATAGAAAAGGAAAGAAGAACTATATATATATATATAGTGTAGCATTTGATACATGTATGGCGTGTGTTAACACATCCCACCACAAGATTGGTTCAGTATTTTGAATGAGATATTAAATTCACTTAAGTTTAGAATAATGGGGTAAAAGGTCGCCCGTAAAGTTTAGGTGTGTAAATAATTTTTCCGGACAAGTTTAATGGGTACTTTATGCATTTTCTCATTTAACATCTTATACCAGGACTCGACTAATTCGAACTAGCGTAATATAATAGTAGTATTAGTACCCGCGCGGACACGCGATCACTAATTATGTCAAATATTTAAGTTATTTGGATTGTATGTAAATAATCTTAAAATTTACACTTTCTTAGTAAATATAGATAATCATTGGATATTAACTACATGAAAAAAATTAACCATTTTTTCTATTTTTCTTTTTTGATACCATTTTTGCCGGTGTCATTGGATCCTAAAAATAGTCAGGAAGCAAAATAATAACTCATATTTATGACAAAATACTCAAATGTTGAGACAATGAATGACTCTTTGGGTAAGACTTAACTCTTTTACCACTACTTGAATTCTTATTTAGTGTGTTGATATCTCTTAAAAAATATTTCTTTCTTAAAATTTCGGTTTCTAAAACATTATTTTTCAATAATAATTATTTTTATAATAATGTAATTCAAAATATTATTCTTAATTCAAAACTCATTTTAGCTGGCTATCTAAAAATATAAAAAAAATTCTTTAGCTTGAGATTTTTTTTAACTCCATTTAGATATTTGATATTAACCATGTTAAATATCTGAGTTATTTGAATTATATGTAAATAACCTTAACATTAAACCTTCTAAATAGTTATAGATAATCGTCAGATATTAATTAAGAAACGTTATATAAAAAAAGACTAACATTTTTCAATTCTCATAGTGATAAAATTTTATTTTTGCATTATTCTCATAGGTANTTTCAATAATAAATATTTTTATAATAATATAAGTGGCATTATTATACTTAATTCAAAACTCATTTTAGTTGGCTATCTAAAAATTTAAAAAATTCTTTAGCCAGTGAATTTTGTTTTTTCCAATATGACTCCATTTTGATATTTGACATTAACCATGTTAAATATCTGAGTTATTTGAATTATATGTAAATAACATTAAAATTTAAACCTTCTAAATAAATTAATTAAAAACACTACATGAAAAAAGACTAACATTTTCTCAAATGTCGTAGTGATAATTTTATTTTTGTATTATCCTCACTGGTGTCATTGGAACCTAAAAATAGCCACAAAGTGAAATAATAACTTATATTTATGGCAAAGCACAAAGGTTGATACGATATAAACGATTCTTTGATTATGACGTGACTCTTATACTACGACTTGAACTCTTATTTGGTATGATTTTATCTTTCAAAAAATATTTCTATTTTGAAATTTTAATTTCTAAAACTTTATATATATTATAAAAATGATTATATTTATAATGATGCAAGTGAAGATATTATCCTTAATTTAAAATTCACTTTAATCGGCTATCTAAAAATTTAAATGATTCTTTGGCCGGATTTATTCCAGTATGACTCCACTTTAAGTTTATCGATATCTCTAGCCCTAAAATTTGAATTTTTAATACCCTATATATACAAAAAAATTATTCTTTGAATCATTAAATGTTAAATTAGTTGATTATTATTATTATAAAATATTGCACATATTGTCTTAAAATTGTCAAGTAGTTTATTTTTCGACATCATACTTGGCTTAACCTCAATGTAAACTACTCAAATTGCATTCCAATTCAAATTCGAATATCATATCAGTTTGTTAGCAATAATAACTTTTTAAAAACGACACATAATGTAAATAAAGAAAATATTCTAAGATATCCTTATCTTATAATCTATGTATTTGAGTTGAAAAAAATATATTTGAAATCGATGAGATTAACTTTCAAAAATTTTATACTCAACAAAGATGAAACATAAGAAGAAATTTGTTGTCATCTTTTATTTCTCGTTTTTAGATTTTTCTAACATTTTTTCAATATATATTTTCTTTTATCTTATTTTTTATGTTATTATTTCTTTTGTTACAAAAAATTAATTTATTTCACTATAAAAGGATGGCTTTTAATAAAAATTGTCTGCATATGAACTTTAATTATATTTTTAGTCTTTGGTTGAAATTATTCATATTTTTCTTTTGGCTTTATCTAATCAGCCTAAATAGGTGCCCACCCGACCATTTAAATTAAAAATTTGAATGATGTACAATTTATATATAATCTATATATAATATGTGTATAATTGTGTGTTGTCGGTATATCATCTATTTATATTAGCTATAAAAGGTAAAAAATAAATATGACCGGGTATTATGTAAATATTCCATAAAATTTCAATTTTTTGAGTTTATCCATTATATAACTTCTATTATAATAATTTTAAAACTATCTACTAATGTTCAAAAATATCTTATCTTTTTATTATCTTTGAATTAAAAAAGTAAAGAGTTTTTTCAAAATAATTTGTTTACATTTTTAAAAAAATATTTCACGTCACACCAATTTTTTTTCTATATATACTCTTTGTTACACTTAAAAGTCGATGTAGAAACTATCAATTAGAAACCAATTTATCTCTTGTTGAGTTTGAAAAAAAATCTTTCACATAATCTAATGGTTCAAAACTAATATTCTTCAACGAAAAAAATATTATACCCTTGCAATATTAGCTTGACTACAACAAAATGAAGGGGTTTCGGCTTATACCCTTCAATTCCTTGAATGTGCTAAATTGAAATTAATGATAGTAATTGTATAGCCAAATTTTTGTTATTTGTTTGATGTCCATTTATGCAATTGACTCTTTAAACAAATATTCTTCAAGAAGAAAAAAGAAACAACTTTTTTTTAAATATTGATTGATTTTGTGATGTTTCTTTCTCCAGCATGTATGTTTACATTATTATATATGTAAGTATACTTTTATTTATTTTTGTAAACTCTTTTTTGTTATTTAGATAAACATAGACGTGTAGCCTACATATTACATTTATTTTAAAAGAATTTCATTTTATTCAAATCTAGCTACAGTGTGATCGAGGCCAACCCTGCACTACTATGGAGTAGCGAGAGAGGTCGAAACAGCTTTTACCCAATTAAGGTCGGGATCGATTTCCACAGGGAGCTAGATATTGGAGTCAGGTGTCTATCTAAAGCGGAGTTGCGTATTTGCTCTTAATGCACTTCTACACATTTTTGGTTTTGATTATGATTCTAATTTTATAAAACTACAATGCTCAATTAAACTAAATAAAGCTAAGGTTTAACTATTGCGAATTGTTCAAATGATTAAAAGGCACTAGGGTAGCGACTTTCGCCTAGGTGGTCAATTGATCGATTCTTGAGTCTAAAGCTAGATTGTCACATTTGGGGAGTATGATATAACCATTGCACGATTCTACTCACTCTATACCTCTCGGTAGTATCACACCTCCTTTTTCGCCCGCGCCACCTCAAAAGGGTGCGGAAGGGAGTTTTTTTCCAATTAAAGGAAAATCGAAACGAGATTTATTTATTTATTTCAGAGTCGCCACTTGGGAGATTTATGGTGTCCCAAATCACCGGTTGAATCCCGAATCGAGGAAAATATTGACTCTGTTTAACAGTCTACGCGCCAGAAATCCGGATAAGGAATTCTGTTAACCCGGGAGAAGGTGTTAGGCGTTCCCGAGTTCCGCGGTTCTAGCACGGTCGCTCAATTGTCGTATTCGGCTTGATTATCTGATATAATACATGTTGAACATATGTGCGAATTTTAACTTTTAACCGCTTTTATCATTATTATTATTTTAACAGAGACTTGCAACATCGTGAAAATATATCTCGAACCACGTCACATCAATGTACCCGTGGTTATCGACATATTTCGACTCTGTTAAGATTTGGATTTATGTTGCACCCGAGTTTAAGAAAATAAATTGTTAAAGG